TGCTGCTGCAGCAGAAGTTGTTGCTCCTGTACCTTTTCCTGCACCATCACCACCATCACCACCACCACCACCACCAGCAACAGCACCAGCACCTGCTGCTGCTGCTGCTGCTGCTGCTGCTGCTGCTGCTGTGTCTGCGCCGCATAAGCCTAGCTCGTGCTGCAGAGAAGGGACAGTTGCCCAGCGTGTGTGTGTGGGGAAAGCTAAGAGGTAGCCATCCCATGTCTTTGCTTGCGGCAGCAGCAGCAGCAACCGAGAAAAAGCTGCTGCTGCTGCAGCACCATAATATAAATAAAGAAATAAAAACTCCCAAAGACATGCATGCGTCAGGATTTCTAGTAAACCCCGCATACCTGTATATACACACAACACACCACCACCCACGCGGCCGCGGCCCCCTGCTGCTGCTGCTGCTGCTGCTCCTGCTGCTGCTGCTGCTGCTGTTGCTGCTGCTGCTGCTGCTGATGATGATGATGCTCCGCCACCTACAGGCCGCGAGGCGACTAGCTCGTACACCACACACCGCCTGCAGTCTGTCAGCACACTTGCAAGGCTTTCCTGCTGCTGCTGCTGCTGCTGCTGCTGCTGCTGCTGCTGCTGTTGCTGCTGCTGCTGCTGCTGCTTGTCGCGCTGCCGCTGGCGTTCGCATGCGTCTAGAAAAGCTGCTGCAGCAGCAACATCTGAGGTGTTGCTGTTCAGTTGTTGTGTTGCTGTTGGGGGGAGCAGCAGCAGCAGCTCTTGCTGCTGCTGCTGTTGCTGCTGCAGCAGCTTGCTGTCTATGCGCTGGCAGTGCCGCCGCAGAGACACCTGAATCTTCTGCTGCAGCTCAGCCATGAAGGATGTCTCTGTCTTCACTTTGCTGCAGTTACTACACTTGCTGCTGCTGCTGCTGCTGCTGCTGCTGCTGCTGCTGCTATTACTAGTGCTGCAGCTGCGGTTGCTGCTGCTGTTGCTTGTGTTAACACCGTTGCTGCTGTTACTGCTGCTGCAGTCTGTGCTGCTGCTGCTGCTCTTCGTGCTGCTATTCCTATCGCTACTACTGCTGCTACTGCTGCTGCTGCTGCTGCTGCTGCTGCTGCTGCTGCTGCAGGGGAGCAGCAGCACGGTGGCCTCACAGTACTGGAACCACTGGCCGTTGCGCTCTGCTGTTCCGCTGTAGCCGCACAGCACCACCGCCCGCTGCTGCTGCGTCGCCAGCAGCGCAGCAGCAGCAGGAGAAATCCTATGGTATCCTGCTGCTGCTGCTGCTGCTGCTGCTGNCTGCTGCTGCTGCTGCTGCTGCTGCTGTTGCTGTTGCTGTTGATGATGATGATGATGATGTTCTTCTTGCTGCTGTTCCTGCAGGTGAAGCCGCTGCTGCTGCTGCTGCTGCTGCTGAGGTCTTGCTGCTGCTCTTCTCCGGCTGTCTCCACGCAGCCCATTCGCAGCAGCCTGTCTCTAGCAGCTGCCACTTCTTTCTTTGCTGTCTGATCTGCTGCTGCAGCAGCAGCTGTTGCTGCTGTTGCTGCTGCTGCTGCTGCTGCTGTTGCTGCTGCTGCTGCTGCTGCTGCTGTGCTCTGAGCAGCAGTTTGCTGTTGAAGGATTGCTGCCAGGCACTGGTTGCTGCATCAAGGAGCCAGGGTGTGATCTGCTGCTGCTGCATGTCTGCTGCTGGCAGCAGCAGCAGCGCGCTGCTGATGCGGCGCAGCGTCTCCTCAGCATATCTCTGTCCCTCTTTGTTTACTAGCCGGAGACAGAGAAGGTCCCGGGGGTCAAACGCAAGCATCCATATGAAGGCATCTAATGCTGCTATGCGCTCCTCCTGCTGCTGCTGCTGCTCCTGCTGCTGCTGCTGCTGCTGCTGCTGCTGCTGGTGCTGGTGCTGCTGGTGGGGGTGGTGCTGCTGCTGCTGCTGCAGTGGGGGAGGGAGAGAAGGGCTGCAGCTGCAGCAGCAAACAGCGCAAGGACGAGGGATGCTGCTTACAGGCTCTGAGTAACGGGCTGCTGCTGCTGCTGCTGCTGCTGCTGTTGCTGCTGCTGCAGGAAATGGAGGAATAGTAGCAGCAGCAGCGCCAACACCAGCAGCAGCAGNGCTGCTGTTGCTGCTGCTGCAGGAAATGGAGGAATAGTAGCAGCAGCAGCGCCAACACCAGCAGCAGCAGGAGCACCAGAGACTCTCGATAACTGCTGCTGCTGCTGCTGCTGCTGCTGCTGCTGCTGCTGCTGCTGCTGCTGCTGTTTTTTCCTAGGGGAGCGGCGGCGCACATAAAGCCTCTCCAGGCCTGGGGTTAAGCCTGTCGATAGAGACAGCCGTCCCTGCAGCACCCACAGCAGCAGCAGCAGCAGCAGCAGCAGCAGCAGCAGCAGCAGCAGCAGAAGATAATAAGAGTGGTGATGAAGGCTGCAGCTATCAACACGCATGCAGCAG